TCCTAGGATCCAATGGGAATACTCTTACAGAGGTCTAACTCACTCAGTAGATCCCTTTCTGGACCATGGCTCTAGTCTGGGGCACTGACTCAGGGATTCGGTCCAGAGATTATACCTGAGTTGCTGAGCTAAGACCTTTATCTGGGATCTGGCTTAGAAAACGGATCCAAACACCTACTCTGAGCTCTAGTTCAGAGATCCAGGCTCGGTTTATACCCTGGGCTCCAGCCCAGTAATCGAGGCTTAGTATATAGTATATACAATGGGATCTATCTGAGGGGTCCAGGCTTAGTACCTAGTCTGAGCTTTTAACATAGGGATCCAATCTGAACATCTGGTCTGGGCTCTGGCCCAGATAGCCTGCTGAAGGACCCAGACTTCCAGTGGGTCAGTCACACCCAGATTTTTCTTTTTTTTTTTTTTTGAGACTGAGTTTCACTCTTGTCACCCAGGCTGGGGTGCAGTGGTGTGATTTCAGCTCAGTGCAACCTCCGCCTCCCAGGTTCATGCAATTCTCATGCCTCAGTCTCCTGAGTAGCTGGGATTACAGGCACCTGCCACCATGCCCAGCTAATTATTGTATTTTTAGTAGAGATGGAGTATCACCATGTTAGCCAGGCTGGTCTCAAACTCCTGACCTCATGTGATCCACCTGCCTTGGCCTCCCAAAGTGCTAAGATTATAGGCGTGAGCCACTGCGCCCAGCCTATACCCAGATTTTTATCAGGGACAGATACTACCACCTTTCAGAAGCCCAATTCTTTTTTTTTTTTTTTTTTTTTTTTTTTTTTTTTTTTTTGAGGCAGAGTCTTCACTCTGTCGCCCAGGCTGGAGTGCAGTGGCACCATCTCGGCTCACTGCAAGCTCCGCCTCCCGGGTTCGCGCCATTCTCCTGCCTCAGCCTCCGGAGTAGCTGGGACTACAGGCGCCCGCCACCGCGCCCGGCTAATTTTTTGTATTTTAGTAGAGACGGGGTTTCACCGTGTTAGCCAGGATGGTCTCGATCTACTGACCTCGTGATCCGCCCGCCTCGGCCTCCCAAAGTGCAGGGATTACAGGCGTGAGCCACCGCGCCCGGCCTCAGAAGCCCAATTCTAGCCAGACTTCCTTACCAGGATATAGTCAGCCCCCCAGTCCCTGGCAAAGGTGAGGGCTTCCTGCTTCAGCTCCATCAGAAACTGGTGCCTTTCTTTGGTCCAGTGCTTGGGACCCTCTTCATCTGGGTAGAACCTGAGGGGGTAGAGAGGTGAGATGTTCCCATGGGGTACATGCCCCTCCCTCTCTGCAAGGCAGTGGACAGAGCCCTGGCTTGGAGGCTGTGGCTCTGGGCTGTCCCTTTTCCTCTCTGGACTGCAGCTGTTCTCCATCTTCCCCAGTACCCTTCCCCTCAGATCACCACCTGGGCTCCCCCTCGGGCCTCCAGACCACAGCGGCATAGTCATCGCCCACAGCTGCCAGCCACTCCTGCAGCATCTCTGTGGTGTTGTCCACATTGTGGTCCGTGGCACACCTGGGGATGGGAAGAAAAAAGGCTGAGGGGGCACAGCCACAGAAGGATTGAACCCCAAAGCAGCCTTGACCCCGAAGCACCAACGCCTTTGAGGCCGGGCTCTCCTTGGAACAGTGAAGGGTAGGCATGTTACAGCAGAGGGGCTGGAGGCAGCACAGCCAGGTCCCCATCACAGTTCTGTGACCTGCTGTGTGACCTCAGGCAAGTCCCATCTTTCTCTGGGCTTCATGTCCTCCCTCTATAACTTAAGCTTTCTTGCCTATGTCATGGACCAAGAGAAGAGAAGACGAAAGTATATATGTGTGTGTGTGTGTATATATATATATTTTTTCTTTTTTTGAGACATAATCTTGCTCTGTCGCCCAGGCTGCAGTGCAGTGGTGTGATCTCGACTCACTGCAACCTCCATCTCCTGGGTTCAAGTGATTCTCCTGCCTCAGCCTCCCAAGTACCTGGGATTACAGGCACGCGCCACCATACCCAGCTAATTTTTGTGTGTTTAGTAGAGACGGGGTTTCACCATGTTGGCCAGGCTGGTCTTGAACTCCTCACCTCAGGTGATCTGCCCACTTCAGCCTCCCAAAGTGCTGAAATTACAGGTGTGAGCCACGTTGCCTGGCCAATGAATGCATTTTGAAAGATGAAAAGTACCTCGACTTTAAGGATCCCACCTGCCACATTCCCTGGTAACCTTCGTTAGGTGGGCAGATACCTACCTGTGTGACCAGTGGCTGTGTGACCACAGGCAAGCCCCTGTCCCTCTCTGAATGGGGACTAGACAGAAGAGCTGCTGCTTTCCTCCACCCCCAGGTTGTAATAAGGATCAAACCATGCTCTGCGAGTCCCTGAGAATGCAGACGGGCCCAAGCTCCGCTGTCATGGAGCACACCCTCCCCTCTCCTGGGGAAGGGGCTCCCATAACAGAGGTGGGGGCTTTAGCCAAGTGCCCAGGTTTTGGGTGATGCTGCCCCTTTAAGCCAATTCCCCAGAAATGAAGACTACGTGTCAAGTCTTACAGGGGTGGGAACTAACAAACTCCCAAACTGTTGGTCATTGTGGGCGGCCTTCGCCCAGGCCAGGCTCCACCCCCCTAGCCCAACTGGGGTGTATTTGTTAAAGGGTGGCTTGTCATTTTTCTCAGTTTACCCCCACCTCAGCCAGGGACTCCTCCCTGTTCTGGTGTCTACAGACCTGGGGTTGTGGCCTCCGATCCCAGTGCCCTGTGGGCCACAGAGATGCCAGAGGGGAGAGGCTCCAGGAAGGGGGGACTGCCCTTGGCTGACAGGATCCTGCCCTCTACCAGAGGGAAAGGGAGCCGGTCTGGACTCCCCTGCACAGCCCGGAGCCCAGTGCTGATGGCACCCCCCCACCTGTGCCCAGAAGCCTCCAGCCTGGCCGATCCCTGCCACGTTGGGCCCCGGGGACTTCAGAGGTTCCTGTCTGCTTCTTCTTCAAAACCACAGGTCCCACCGGGGTTGAGCTGGGCCCTGAAGGCTGGGGTGAAAAAGGCTGGCTGCGCCCACCTACACCTAGGGAAAGGCCCCAAGAGGAAGGAGTAGGGGACCAGAAGGAGGGGTGGGTGTCTCACGTCGGCCTGTGGCCTTCAAGAGGTCTCCCAGCAGGGGGCTCGGGGTCCTGTCTGGGGGCTCAGGCTGGCAGGGCCGTCTGTGAGGGGAGGGGCCCTGTCCTAGGTGGTGTCTGGGCAGGGAGCAAGCAGACAGGGCCGCCGGGGGCGGGGGCTATCTGCGAGGCTGGGGGTTAGGTGCCCACTGGGTGCCAATGCCCTTGTCTCTCACCAGAGGGCCATCCTGGCCCGGGGGTAGTCCAGCCGTTCCAGCGCGCCCAGGTAGTGGGGCAGCGAGTGTTCGGCATTGCGGGCCAGGATGGCAAGGACCACGGCGGGCAGCGGCGACTCTGCAACGCCCCGCAGCCTCCAGCCACAGCCCAGCAGGAGCAGCAGCTGGAGCAGCGGCGCGGCGGGGGCAGCGCGCATGGCGGGCGCTTGGGCGGCTGCGGCGGCCCCCGGGGCTCTGCAGCCGGCCGAGGGAGGGGGCGGGGCTTGGGGCCAGGCGGGGCCGAGGCAGACCCGGAGGAGGGCGGGGCAGTGCACCCCCAGAGTGGGATTCCCCTCCCCACCCCTGCGCGGGGATGCTCAAGTTTTCTGTCCTTGGCCTGGGGTACCGGAGGGCCAGGGCCCGGGGACCCGCGCCAGCCGGCGACCCCTGGAGCCCGCCCCGCCGGCTGGACCCCGGAGGGGCGACGGGGGAGGGGCCGGAGGATAGGGACGGGGAGGGGTGCTGGGACGAGTGCCTAGGGGCCGGCCAGGCATCCCGAGAACAGTAGGGGGCTCATGGAACCCTGGGCTTTGAACCCCCCGGAACCGGATTTCCCGGCCCATAAAGCCGACCCTTAAGACCTAGCCGCAGACCCCGCGGGGCGGCGCCGGCTCTGCCACACCTCCCCGGGCTTCCCCGGCTCCCGTCCGCCCCCCTCCTCCGCCCCCGGGCGCCCTCTGGCGGCCCCGGCGCCAGCTCCGCAGACCAGACGCGCCACGCGTGGGCCGGAGACCCAGTGTGGGGGTCGCAGAGGGAGTCCCCCTGACCTGGCGCGTCCTCCCGCGGCGGTCCGCTCCTTAAGTCCCCTGCGCGTCACCTCCTTGCCGCGGTCGCTAGCGCTCGCATTGCTTCGGCCCCTTTAAGAGAGCCACAGTCAGGCCGGGCGTGGTAGCTCAAGCCTGTAATCCTAGCACTTTGGGAGGCCGAGGCGGCGGGATCACTGAGATCCGTTCAAGACCAGCCTGGCCAACATGGTGAAAACCCATCTGTACTAAAATACAAACATTAGCCGGGCATGGTGGCGGGTGCCTGTACTCCCAGCTACTTGGGAGGCTGAGGTAGGAGAATCACTTGAACCCCGGGAGGCGGAGGTTGCAGTGAGCCGAGATCGCGCCACTGCACTCCAGCCTGGGTGACAGACTCCATCTCAAAAAGAAAAAAAGAAAAGAAAAAAAAAAAAAAAAACGGCACGCCCTCACAGCCCTCTCTTGGTCTGAGTGTAGAACTAGGGCACACCACGCCCTCCCAAGGAGGGGATGTTGGCTCCCCTGGAGCACCGCGGGGTCCTTAGGACCCTGCTAGGAGGGAAAGGACTCTCCAGCCTCTCGGGAGAGAAGCAGAAAAGGGAGAGGCCTGGCGGTACCACAGATGGGATCAAACTGGGTGTCTGTCACCAACCTCAGACAGGTCACTTTCCCTCAGCAGCCTCTCGGTAAAATCAGGCTGATAACACCACCCATCTGGGAGGGCTCGCAGGGATTCCTCGAGAGAATGAATGCACTGGCAACTTTTCCCACGTGGAGGCTGACACACCAGGAAGAGCTCCGCCTGGGGCTGGGAAGACAGGACTGGAGGAGAGGGAGGGTCCCGTTCACCCTCCCACCGCTGGGAAGGGCTCCTTTCCTAGGAACACCACGGGGTCTCCCTTCAGCCTTTTCCCAGGCTCAGGGAGGGGAGCTAGGGCTGTGCACACTATCTCCACTGGAAGGGGAGGGCTGGAGGTCCACAGAGGAAGGGACTTACCTAGTGCAGGAGCAGCAAGTGCACACTGAACCCTGGAGTCCTCATCTCTAGCCTAGCTCCAAAACCTCCACCAGGATCGGATCGCAGCTTCCATTTGAGGCCATTTCTAGGCCAGCGGCCCTGCAATGAGAAGCATCCTGGAGAGATGCCAGATTCCTCCTCCCTTGCACGGCAGTCCCTGTGGGAAGCCACTCCCAGCCCCAGAAGAGGGATTCCCTTTTTAAAGCAAAGCAGTGTTCCCTACTTCACCCACCCCAGAGTCATTCCACAGCCTCTGTCTGTCCTATTGGTCCAAGGGTGCTATGGTCTGAATGTCCCTGACCCCCAAAACTCACATGTTGAAACCTAATGTTAATGTCAGGGTATTAAGAGGCGGGGCCGGCCGGGCGCTGTGGCTCAAGCCTGTAATCCCAGCACTTTGGGAGGCCAAGGCGGGCGGATCACGAGGTCAGGAGGTCAAGACCATCCTGGCTAACACGGTGAAACCCCGTCTCTACTAAAAAATAGAAAAAATTAGCCGAGGGTGGTGACGGGCCCCTGTAGTCCCAGCTACTCAGGAGGCTGAGGCAGGAGAATGGCGTGAACCTGGGAGGTGGAGCTTGCAGTGAGCCTAGATCGTGCCACTGCAATCCAGCCTGGGTGACAGAGCGAGAGCGAGACTCTGTCTCAAAAAAAAAAAAAGGGGGGAGTTGATTAGGATGTGATTGGGTGGGCTCCCTGACATGAATGGGGCTAGTGCCCTTATAAAAGAGGCCTGGGGGCCGGGCGCGGTGGCTCACGCCTGTAATCCCAACACTTTGGGAGGCTGAGGCGGGTGGATCATGAGGTCAAGAGATCAAGTCCATCCTGGGCAAGCAACATGGTGAAACCCCATCTTTACTAAAAATACAAAAATTAGCTTGGTGTGATGTCACGCGCCTGTAGTCCCAGCTACTCAGGAGGCTGAGTTGGGAGAATCCTTTGAACCCAGGAGGCAGAGGTTGCAGTGAGCCAAGATCATGCCACTGTACTCCAGCCTGTCGACAGAGCAAGACTCTGTCTCAAAAAGAAAAAGAGGCCTGGGGAGCTTGTCCACAACTTCTGCCACAAGAAGACACAGCTAGAAGGCCACATGTATGAGGAACAGGCAAATCTGCTGACGCTTTGATCTTGGACCTCCCAACCCTAGAACTACAAGCAATAAATTTCTTTATTTTTTGGCGGGGGGAGGGGCGTGGGTGTGGGGTGTTCAAGCGATTTTCCTGCTTCAGTCTCCCAAGTAGCTGGGATTACAGGCGCACACCACCATGCCCGGTTAATTTTTTGTATTTTTAGTAGAGATAGGTTTTCACTATGTTGGTCAGCCTGGTCTCAAATTCCTGACCTCAGGTGATCTAGCCGCCTCAGCCTCCCAAAGTGCTGGGATTACAGGTGTGAGCCACCGCGCCCAGCGGATAAATTTCTGTTGTTTATACATTATGCAGTCTAAGATATGTTGTTATAGCAGCCCAAATGGACTAAGACAGAGGGCTTCCAGATTCTTCCCTGGCCTCAAGTCCTCCTCTTCCCCCCAGTCCTCCCATACTCCCCAGTAGTCCAGCCTGTCACTAACTTTCTTGCCTCCAGGTTTTCCCATCACACCTGCCTGGAAACCCTAATAGCCATCTTGTTTTGGGGTAGGTTGGGGCTACTGCAAACTCAGGGTCTCTACCCTCAGTTGGGCTCTCACCCAGCCCAAGAATCCTGTTTCTCTGTGTCCCCTGCCCATTCCCCTCAGGGCATTTCAAATGCCTCCAGTCATTGAGGCACAGTGGCTCATGCCTGTAATCCCAGGACTTTGGGAGGCCGAGATGGGCGGATCACTTGAGGCCAGGTGTTCTTTTTTTTTTTTTTTTTTTTTGAGACGGAGTCTTGCTCTGTCCCCCTGGCTGGAGTACAGTGGGGCACTATCTCGGCTCACTGCAAGCTCCGCCTCCCGGGATCATGCCATTCTCCTGCCTCAGCCTCCCGAGTAGCTGGGACTACAGGCGCCCGCCACCGCGCCCGGCTAATTTTTTTGTATTTTTAGTAGAGACGGGGTTTCACCATGTTAGCCAGGATGGTCTCGATCTCCTGACCTTGTGATCCGCCCGCCTCGGCCTCCCAAAGTGCTGGGATTACAAGCGTGAGCCACCGCGCCCGGCCTCGGGGCCAGGTGTTCAAGACCAGCCTAGGAAACACGGTGAAACCCTATCTCTATTAAAAATACAAAAAAAGGGGCCAGGTGCGGTGGCTCACGCCTGTAATCCCAGCACTTTGGGAGGCTGAGGTGGGTGGATCATCTGAGGTCAGGAGTTCAAGACCAGCCTGACCAACATGGAGAAACCCCGTCTCTACTAAAAACACAAAATTAGCCGGGCATGGTGGTGCATGTCTGTAATACCAGCTACTCAGGATGCGGAGGCAGGAGAATCGCTTGAACCCAGGGGGCGAAAGTTGCAGTGAGCCGAGATCATGCCATTGCATTCCAGCCTGGGCAACAAGAGCGAAACTCCACCTCAAAAAATAATAATAATAATAATACAAAAAGAAATAAGCCAGGTGTAGTGGCACATGCCGGTAACCCCAGCCACTTGGGATTCTGAGGCAGAAGAATCAGTTGAACCTAGGAGGCAGGCATTGCAGTGACCTGAGATCATGCCACTGCACTCCAGCCGGGGTGACAGAGTGAGACTCTGTCTCAAAAAAAAAAAAAAAAAAAAAAAAAAAAAGCCTCCAGTCTTCTCAATCCCTCATTCCACCGCCCCTCTCCCCCAGCAGAAATCTCCCTACTACTTTTTGGAGAAAATAGAAGCCATTAGCTGGGAACTCTCATTTCCAGCCTCCAAACCTTCTACCTCTTCCCTCAGCCAGCCTCAGGAGGCACACCCCTCCTCAACAGAACGGCCCCCGTGAAACCGCCTTTGCAAAATTGTAACTCAGGAAATTATGACAGTGAAACAAATCAGACCTAACTGACTCTATCTTGTTTCTAACCCTTAAGCTGTCCTTGTTCACTCCTGGGCGTAGGCTGAACTAACTTTGGGAAGCAATTCAGTTCATGGTTTGAAACAAAATTTATAACAGCCCTTTCCCAAAAAGACCCCCCTTCTTGCCTAGGGTCCAGTCCGCCTTTGCAGGACTAACAAATTAGCTATAAGATTAGAAATTACAATTTAAGGGTCATGCAGCCTTTGGATCCTCCCCAAATTGCTCCTGGGGTAACATCACTATTGTAAAACCTAAAGTCAGTGCTTGAGATATTTTGCAGACCCTGCACTCGATGGATCAGCTGACACCACCCAGACCGGTAATCTGGCCCAACCAGTTCTACCATCGCACCCAGGAACAGAAGACATTAAGAACACCTAACTTCCACCTCCTATGATTCCATCTCCAACCTGACCAGTCAGCATTCCCCACTTCCTGACCTCAAGTGATCTGCTCGCCTTGGCCTCCCAAAGTGCTGGGATTATAGGTGTGAGCCACTGTGCCCAGCCACCCACTCCCTCTTTTTGGAAACCTGACATCTCGGCTTCTCGCCTGGACCCAAACTCTTTCTGTCCCAAACGGCACCCCAGTCTTTTCTCCAACTCTGCGCCCTGTCCCATGCAACTCTGCGCCCTCTCCCTTCTCTAGGGAACAGTACTTCGGCCCACCCAGTCCCTCAGGATGGAGACCCGGATGTTGCTGATGAAGAGGCGGTCCCCTCCATCACCGCTCCTGGTCAGGCTGCCTCCTTAGCACCTCCTGCAGGTGGCCAACTCTTCCCTTCTGCACCACCCATTTGCCTGGCTCAGGGTATCAGCGTCCCTCAACCTGGGCCACTGTATCTTCCAGCCCCCATCCCCACCCCATCCTCCCACCATCAGACTCTCTCCCTGGAGACCATTCTGTATGCAGCAGCCCTTTCTTTTATTTTACTTTTTTTTAGCGATAGGGTCTCTTTCTGTGGCCCAGGCTGGAGTGCAGGAGTCTAATCATAGCTCACTGCAGGCGTGAACTCCTGGGCTCAAGTGATCCTCCCACATCAGCCTCCTGAATAGCTGGAACTGCATGAGGCTACAGGCATGCACCACGGGGTGTCACTATGTTGCCTGGGCTAGTCTTTTTTTTTTTATCCAGACAGAGTTTCGCTCTGTCACCCAGGCTGGAGTACAGTGTCACAATCTTCCCTCACTGCAACCTCTGCCTCCCAGTTTGAGGTGATTCTCCTGCCTCAGCCTCCCGAATAGCTGGGATTATAGGCACGCCACCAAGCCTAGCTAATTTTTGTTATTGTTGTTGTATTTTAGTAGAGATGGGGTTTCATCATGTTGCCTAGGCTGGTCTTGAACTCCTAAGCTCAGGCAATTCATCTACCTCAGCCTCCCAAAGTGCTAGGATTACAGGTGTGAGCCACTGCACCCAGCCTAGGCTGGTCTTGAACTCCTGGGCTCAAGTGATCCTCCTGCCTTAGCCTCCCAGTGTTGGGATTACAGGTGTGAGCCACTGTGCTTGGCCTCAGCAGCCCTCCTTTTTTTTTTTTTATTGAGATAGAGTCTCACTCTGTCACTCAGGCTGGAGTACAGTAGCATGATCATTGCTCACTGCAGCCTCGAACTCCTGGACTCAAGCCATCCTCCCGCCTCAGCCTCCTGAGTAGCTGGGACTACAGGTGCATGCCTAATATTTATTTATTTACTTATTTTGTAGACCCAACCTTATGCTCCAGCCAAATTGCACAATTTACAGTTTCTAGAATACTCCATGCTTTTGGACCTTCCCACATTCTTTTCTATTTTTTCTCTTGGTCCCGCTGCCTGGACTGGTCTTTACTGGACAGCTTCTACACTCTGGGTCCTATAGTCTCAGCCCAAACTTCCTCTCTCTGCAAAGATTTCCCTGATGCCATGTCTGGGAGACATATCCTACAGGTCATTCTATATGATCCTGTTCATTCAGCAACTATTTCCTGAGTACTTACTATGTGCAGATGCAACGCAAGGGGCTGGGAATACAGAAGTGCACAAAACAGACGCAGTCTCTGTTCCTAGGCTCCTTACATTCTGGTGAGGAGAGACAGATAGGCAACAAGCAAAACAATCAATGAAGAGATAATTTCAAGGAATGGTAAATGCCATGAACAAATTGAAACACGTGATCAAGAACTGAGAGTAGGCTGAAGGCAGTGGCTCACACCTGTAATCCCAGCACTTTGGGAAGCCAGGGCAGGCACATTGCTTGGGCTCAGGAGTTTGAGACCAGCCTGGCCAACATAGTGAAACCCTCTCTCTACAAAAAATACAAAAATTAGCCGAGCATGGTGCTGCACGCCTGTAGTCCCAGCTACTCAGGAGGTTGAGGTGGGAGAATCACTTGAGCCCGGGAGGCAGAGGTTGCAGTGACCTGAGATTGCGCCACTGCACTCCAGCCTGGGCAACAGAGCCAGACACTGGCTCAAAAAGAAAGAAAGAGAGAAAGAGAGAAAGAGAGAAAGGAAGAAAGGAAGAAAGGAAGGAAGGAAGGAAAGAAGGAAGGAAGGAAAGAAGGAAGGAAGGAAGGAAGGAAGGAGAGAGAACTGAGAGTAGTTGGGAGTAGAGCAACATTCAGACAGAGGGGTCAGGGAAGGCATTTTGGAACATAAGGAAGAGCTAATCAAGGGGAGATCTGCGGGAAGAGTGTTCCGGATAAAGGAACAGGTAGAGCAAAGGCCCTGAGGTGGGAACATGCAAGACGGCCAGTGTGACTGGAGCAAGGTGAGCAAATATGGTAAGAGGTGAGGTCAAATAGGTGGGAACGGCCAGGTCACCCGGTGCCTTGAAACTATGGTAGGGTTTTGGTTTTGGTTTTGTGTTTGAGAGGGAGTCTCGCTCTGTCACCCAGGCTGGAGTGCAATGGCGAGGTCTCAGCTCACTGCAACCTCCGCCTCCCGGGTTCAAGCAGTTCTCCTGCCTCAGCCTCCAGAGTAGTTGCGATTACAGGCGCCTGCCACCGTGCCCGGCTAATTTTTGTATTTTTAGTAGAGATGCGGTTTCACCATGTTGGCCAGGCTGGTCTTGAACTCCTGACCTCGTGATCCACCCACCTCGGCCTCCCAAAGTGCTGGGATTATAGGCATGTAATCCCTACTAAAAATACAAAAATTAGCTGGGCATGATGACGCGTGCCTGTAATCCCAGCTACTCGGGAGGCTGAGGCAGGAGAATTTCTTGGACCGGGACACAGGAGGCAGAGGTTGCAGTGAGCCGAGATCGCGTCACTGCACTCCAGCCTGGGCTACAGAGCAAGACTCCATCTCAAAAAAAAAAAAGCCCAGGGCCGGGCGCGGTGGCTCAAGCCTGTAATCCCAGCACTTTGGGAGGCCGAGACGGGCGGATCATGAGGTCAGGAGATCGAGACCATCCTGGCTAATACGGTGAAACCCCGTCTCTACTAAAAAATACAAAAAACTAGCCAGGCGAAGTGGCGGGCGCCTGTAGTCCCAGCTACTCGGGAGGCTGAGGCAGGAGAAAGGCGTGAAACCGAGAGGAGGAGCTTGCAGTGAGCTGAGATCCGGCCACTGCACTCCAGCCTGGGTGACAGAGCAAGACTCCGTCTCAAAAAAAAAAAAAAAAAAAAAAAAAAAAAAAAAAAAGCCCAGGTGAGGTGGCTCACGCCTGTAATCCCAGCACTTTGGGAGGCTGGGGTGGGTGGATCACCTGAGGTTGGGAGTTCGAGAGCAGCCTGGCCAACATGGAGAAAACCCGTCTCTACAAAAAAATACAAAATTAGCCAGGCGTGGTGGCGGGCACCTGTAATCTCAGCTACTCGGGAGGCTGAGGCAGGAGAATCGCTTGAACCCAGGAGGCAGAGGTTGCGGTGAGCCGAGATTGTGCCACTGTACTCCAGCCTGGGCAACAAGAGCAAATCTCTGTCTCAAAAATAGAAAAAAAGTGCTGTCCTGTGAAGCCTAAGACCTCATTAGCTGGGTCATGCCTGGAAAAAAATGATTGCTTGGGCCCATCTGGCTGAGCCGGATCCGGATCCTATGGGGCTGACACCTGGGGGGCTGCTGGTTTCTGCCCGCAGCATCCTCACCCACTGCAGCCATTGCAGTTCTGACCAAATCCAGGTGGTGGCGCCAGCACCTCAGGCTTGACTCTGGCTTTCCGGAGTAGAGACCCTGCAAGAACTGTCCCCCTCGCCAGCGCCTGCTTCCCTCTGGGAGCCTCAGTTCCAGGGCCTGCCTGCTCCTGGTAAAGACTTTGTAGCATGGCTTCACCAGGGAGAGGGGAGCTGAGGTTGGCAGACTCAAACTAGGGGCCAACCCCTACTCCTGGAGGTTAGGGAGGTGGGCTACAAGAGCCCCTTTGGGCCAAAGAGAAACTAGGGGTATCAGGCCACTGGGAGTTGGGGGTCAGGAACCCGGGTAGGCTGCTCTGCTTCAGTGGACTCTGGCCACACCCCCATTAACCCTCTGCATACCCTGCCCCACCTCATTTGAGGTCCCAGGTGCTGCTTCCTTGCCAATGGGTAGGGGCAGCCTGGGGGTGCCCCAGGGCCCAGGTAGGGCCCGCGGATTGGGAGTCCTCATGGCCTGGCAGCCAAACAGGCTTGAAATGGGGACCCAAAGCAGAGAGGATGCTTGGATGCTCTTACCAGCTGCCAGCTTCACGTCTCCTGAGTTGGGGGATCTCTGGTCCCCTGTCCTGCTTTGTGGCCAAGGGAGCCCAGGATCCTGGCCAGAGGATGGGCCTGCACCCCACTCCTGGTTCTGGGTGCAGCTCGGCAGATGGGAATCCAGGAGCTCAGCTTGGGCACCCTCCCCACCTTCAGCTCCAAGCCCGGTTCCAAGAGGACCCAGGGCTGGGCAGAGGCTTGTCCCCAAGATCCTCCCCTGCCCCTCATCTTTCCTATTTGAGGGAAGACTGAGACCCTCAAAGTCCAGCTGGAGGCATCCCTGCCCATTCTGCTTGGACTTAGCACACCCTGGTCTCTGCTCTAGGAATCTGCCCTCCACCCCCCCATTCTGGGGGTCCACCCAACACCCACACACACTTCCACAGACCCCCCTCTCTCTCCCTTTTGGCCATGCCCTCCTCTCCCAGGATCCCAGATGTGCAGCTGTCCTCCTCTGAGGCTCTGCCTCTGTTCTCAGGAGGCTGGGGCCCGGCCAGCTGTTTTCTCTGGGCAGCCAGCTGTTTTGTCCATCAGGAAGCAGTCCTGGCTCCTCTGCTAAAATCGTTGCTGTGGCTGCAGCGTGGCAGCCCTACTGAGCCAGGTCCTGGGAGCTGTTAACTCCTCTGGGCCCAGGCAGCCCCTTCCCTCTCTCAGCCCTGATCCCTTCTGCCTCCCCCGGACCCACAGAACTAGCCCATCGCGGGACTTCTAGAGACCCCAAGAAAACCAAGTTTTGCTATCCCCACCCCCTTCAACAACTCCTAACCCCCGCCCTGCTCCACAGAGCCTTGTCCTCAGGTGAACCCAGCAGGAAGCTCAAAGGGATAAATGTTAACCTTATTCAGAATAATAATAATAGCTATCATTAACCGTTTGCTGTGTGCCAGCCATCTGCTAAGTGCTTTTTTTTGGAGTGGGCAATGGAGTCTCACTCTGTCACCCAGGCTGGAGTGCAATGGCATGATCTCGGCTCACTGCAGCCTCTGCCTCCCAGGTTCAAGCGATTCTCCTGCCTCAGCCTCCTGAGTAGCTGGGATTACAGGCATCTGCCACCACACCCAGTTGATTTTTTATTTTTAGTGGAGATGGGGTTTCACCATGTTGGTCAGGCTGGTCTCCAACTCCTGACCTCAGGTGATGTACCTGTCTCAGCCTCCCAAAGTGCTGGGATTACAGGCGTGAGCCACCGCACCCAGCCTGCTAAGTGCTTTAAATGTATTATCTAACTTGATTTTCACAACAACCCTGTGAAGTCAGGAATTCTTTTTTTTTTTTTTTTGAGACGGATTCTGTTGCTGTGTCGCCTAGGCTGGAGTGCAGTGGTACTATCTTGACTCACTGCAACCTCTGCCTCCCCGATTCAAGCAATTCTCCTGCCTCAGTTTCCCAGCTTGTAGCTGGGACGACAAGCACGTGTCACCATGCTCAGCTAATTTTTGTATTTTTAGTAGAGACAAGGTTTCACCATTTCACCATGTTGACCAGGCTGGTTTTGAACTCTTGACCTCAAGTGATCTGCCTGCCTTGGCCTCCCGAAATGCTGGGATTACAGGCATGAGCCACCATGCCTGACCAGTTGGGAATATTTTTACTTTACAGAAGAGGAAACTGGGAAACTGAGGCACAGAGAATCTAAATAAATCACTTGCCCAAGCTCATCCAGAGTTGGGGTTTGGGGTTGAAACCAAGTCTGCCCGTCTCACTCTGGCCAGCCCTGGCGGCTCTGGAACTGCTGTTGGTGTTACTGTTTAAGTTCCCCGGAGCTTTTGCCCCAGGCTTTCTCTCCCTATCCTCAGTCGCCCCACCTGTAGAATGGGGACACTCTAGCATGGAGTTAACACCACCAGTTCTGAGTCTGGAGCTGTGTCAGCTTCTGTGCTCGATTCTTTCCAAGTATTCATTAGCAGATTACTCCCCTGGTGGCTACATTCGGCCTGGGCTAGAATCCTAGCTCTGTTGCCTCCAGACTGCCTGGCTTTGGACAAGTGACTGGACCTCTCACAGTCTACCAGTCTCCAAAGCTGGAAAATGGAGACAGGAACAATGCGTCTGCATCTCTGATTTTGTTACGGAAAGGTTGAGATGACGCAGGTAAAGTGATTAGCCCAGGACCGGACCCAGAGGTAGTGAGTGGGAAATGCTCCCTGTTACTATTCTATTTAACCACAATGGTCAAGGACAGGATCCGAGTGGCCCATCCACCACGGCGTGCCCCCATGCTCAGCTCAGAGCTGGTACGTAGGAGGGCTCTGTGATTACCTGTGAATGAATGAACCTGGTCCATGGTCCCCACATGGGGAAAGCAGGCTGAGAGAGGGCCACACCTGTCCAAGATCACAGTTACCGGGTGGCTCTGGGATTCAGCCCTGTCCGTGAGTCTGCCAGGGGCCCCTGGTCCAACTCCTGTACCCCTAGGGCCTTCTCTCTTGAGGCCAGGACCTGGACTAGGGAGGGGACAGGGGAACAGGGACAATCCCATGGCTAAGTAAGACAACCCAGTAGGTGACTTGGCTGTGGCTGGGTGGGATCTCAGGGTCTGGGAGCGACCCCTCAGGATGCAGTGACCCGTGCTCTCCCTTTTTGTCCCCTCCCCCCTGCCCACCATGGGTCAGTTCCCTGGTCCCAGCCTAGACATCTGGAACTGGGGCAGACAAAGGGCTGCGGGAAGGGACAATAACCTTCTGTCCATTTTCAGATGTCGGGCTGGGCCTGGCCAGGGCTGGGGGCCGGAGCCCCGGCGAGGCGGTGCCAGGCCCCCCGCGGGCAGCGGACAATGTTGGCAGTGATGGAGAGGAGGCATTTCAAAGCGTTTTGTTCCCGCTGACCCCCTCCCCCCCCAACATCTCGCCCCAGCTCGGGGCGAGGCCCCCTCCCCACCCCCAGCCACCCAGGCCTCTGCTCTGGGCGGCTTGGGGACCAGCCACATTCTTGACCTCAGGGGAAAAGTTTAGACTCTTTGCGCCCTGGGCAACAATAACAGTGTCACAGAACTGATTTAGGAGCAGCACTTACCATCACAAAGCAGCAGACAAAGAGCCGGGCTGAGAACGCGCCGGGCCGCGGCAACTACTCCACCAACCACGGCTCGCTTCTCTCCGGGCTCTGCCAGGCAGGACTGGGTGCCAGGCCCCACACCCTAGGCACACCAGGGGAGGACCTGAGGTGGGCAGTGGTCAAGAAGAGACAGGGAAAACCAACCGGGAATGTGGAGGCCTGAGAGCCGTTCCTGCTCCACCAACTTGCTACGTGACCCTGAGCAAGTCCTTCCCCACTGTGGGCCTCAGTTTCCCCATCTGTAACAGAAAGGCTAAACTACAAGGCCAAAAGCACGAGGCTCTGATCTTGCAGGCAGAAGGGTTTCAATGAGGTTGATGATAGTGGTGATGGTGGTGCTGCCAAACCCCCTCCTCCAACTCCTGTACCCCTAGGGCCTTCTCTCTTGAGGCCGGAACCTGGACTAGGGAGGAGACAGGGGAACAGGGACAATCCCATGGCTAAGTAAGACAACCCCGAAGGTGACTTGGCTATGGCTGGGTGGGATCTCAGGGTCTGGGAGCGACCCCTCAGGATGCAGTGAGAAGTAAGGATGCAGTGAGAAGTATTTGCCACTTGGTCCTGGGCACTTCACAGGTGCCAGGCACGGTGCTTACTAAGCCCTTTCAGACCTTCATATCCTTTTATCATGTAAACTTTCTCAGACTCACAAAGCAGATGTATAATTAGCTCCACTTTACAGTTGATAAGCTAAGGCTCAGAGAAGTTGAGTCATTTGTCCAGCGCCACACAGCCTGGAGGTTGTGGAGCCAAGACAAGGCGGAGCTGCTTCCTTCCCGAAATTATACTCCAGTGGGAAGGAGAGAGGAGCAACGAGGCAGCTGGACATGGTGAGTTCTGGCTGGGAGGGCCTCTCCTCCCCGCCAGAAGGCTATGAATAAAGAAATGTCTGCTTATCCCCAGGGGAAATTCCGCCCTTGGAGCAGGTGCCTTTATTTTTTTTTGAGACAGAGTCTCGCTCTGTCACCCAGGCTGGAGTGCAGTGGTGCGATCTCGGTCACTGCAACCTCCACCTCCTGGGTTCAAGCAATTCTCCTGCCTCAGCCTCCTGAGTAACTGGAACTACAGGCGCCCGCCACCACTCCTGGCTAATTTTTTTCTTTTCTTTTCTTTTTTCTTTCTTTTTTTTTTTTTTGAGATGGAGTCTCCCTCTGTTGCCCAGGCGAGAGTGCAGTGGCGTGATCTTGGCTTACTGCACGCTCCGCCTCCCGGGTTCACGCCATTCTCCTGCCTCAGCCGCTTGAGTCACTGGGACTACAGGCGCCCGCCACCATGCCCGGCTAATTTTTTTGTATTTTTAGTAGAGATGGGGTTTCACCGTGTTAGCCTGGATGGTCTCGATCTCCTGACCTCGTGATCTGCCCGCTTGGCCTCCCAAAGTGCTGGGATTACAGGTGTGAGCCGCCATGCCTGGCACGCCTGGCTAATTTTTGTATTTTTCGTAGAGACGGGGTTTTACCATATTGGCCAGGCTGGTCTCCCAACTCCTGACCTTGTGATCCACCTGCCTCGGCCTTCCAAAGTGCTGGTATTACAGGCGGGAGCCACCGCCCCTGGCCGCAGTTGCCGTTAAAAACGAGGTTGGGGCCGGGCGCGGTGGCTCACGCCTGTAATCCCAGCACTTTGGGAGGCCGAGACGGGCGGATCACGAGGTCAGGAGATCGAAACCATCCTGGCTAACACGGTGAAACCCCGTCTCTACTAAAAATACAAAAAAACTAGCCGGGCGAGGTGGCGGCGCCTATAGTCCCAGCTACTCGGGAGGCTGAGGCAGGAGAATGGCGTGAACCCGGGAGGCGGAGCTTGCAGTGAGCTGAGATCCGGCCACCGCACTCCAGCCTGGGTGACAGAGCGAGACTCCGTCTCAAAAAAAAAAAAAAAAAACAACAACAAAAAAAAAACGAGGTTGGACCAGCATAGTGGCTCCCACCTGTAATCCCAGCACTTTGGGAGGCTGAGTTGGGTGGATCACTTAAGCCCAGGAGTTTGAGACCAGCCTGGGCAACATGGCAAAACTCCATCTCTACAAAAAATACAAAAATCAGCCAAGCATGGTGGCCATGCACTCCAGCCTGGGCGACAGAGTGAGACCGTGTCTCAAAAAATAAAAATAAAGTAAAAAAAAAAAAAAAAAAGCTTGATTGATTCTTATCTGTGAGCAGAGGTGGGCCTGGGTGGACACTCAGATGCAGGGGATTGAATGCAATGACCTCCAGTGGAGGCCCTCTAGGAATCAGAGGCACTATGGAAGAACATTTAAGGGATCAGGCTCTGCAGCCAAGCTATGGGCTTGAATCCCAGCTCTTTTTCTCGCAGTGTGTCCACAGATGAGTCACTTCAACGCTCGGTGTCTCAGTTTTCCAATCTGTAACACTGACTCCACATTGCAGGAATGTGGTGACCATTCAGCAAGGTACGTGGACGACCTCAGAACAGAGCCTGACCCAGTGAGGAAGGCCTGTTTCTACTCGGCCGGGTCCCCCCCAGCCAGGTCCCACCTCAAAGCAGGCACCACTGGGGTGCTGTGGCATGCAGTCAGCTGTTGACCTTGCTTTTTGGGAAGTGGTTGGGCTTTGAAGACAACATGTGGGACTATGGTTAGACACGAAGAGCGAAGGGGTCCCCATTCTCTGGGGGATGTAAGGCAACCATGGCTTCCCAGGGATAGTTAGAGGAGATTGTGGCTTCTCTGAGGCCCAGGCAGGGGCTGCTCCTGCTACTAGGCTGGGCCCTGGGCATGGTGCCTGGAGAGGGAACAGAAAGGAAAGGCCTGGAGGTGCTGGGCAGAGTTGGCTCCCTCCAAACCTCAGCCTCTTCAATTCAGGGGGAAACTGCACGTGGAGAGGGAGAGACGTGGTCCAAGGTGGCTTCCATAACACAAACAGCCTGCGGTGTGATGGGGAGGCCTGGTGGGTTTGAGT